TCTTCTTCTTCTTCTTCTGCTATATGGACAAGAATGTTATCCGCTACCATCGCCACCGACCCCTCCAAATGCTTCTGATAGTGCAGCGCACTTCCAAAAAAGTTCTAGCCGTTCCTCATGCAATAGAGCTGGATGGCTCTCCCCTTGCAGTGGTGTAGCACAGACATTGCTCCTTCTAACTGCGAGTTGCCTCATTACGTGGACGAGAAATTACGAGAAAACCTCGAAAAGTCTGAGTTCAAGCCAAGATTGAGATGATGTCCAACTTTGTATCGCGCCTCCCTGCATTGTGAAGCGATGGCATCCATGAGGTGCTCAAAAACAGGCAAGGACCCCGCAGTAACATTGCTGTACAATTTTGATCTTACACGCCTCTCTATAAAAAGAAAGCCCAATTTGAAAAAAGTGACAGAACTTTCCCGCCAACCTAATAGTTGCCAGTTCGCACAAAGGAAAGCAGTAGCAAGTTGAGAAGAAATGTGGGCGAGTGATATTGACCTTCTTTGACCAGTGACATCGCCGCTCGCCTTATACAGACGTACGTTTTTGTCTAGCTCAATCTTGCGTATCCTCTACGTGGGTTTCATCGCACCTTAGCCGTTTGTCGAGTATTAGTATTAATACAGCCTTCGAAAAGGAAAAGCCCCACAGGAGATATAAGCATTCTCAGGGTTCTGGATGACCATGCAGGCAACAGCTCTGAAAAGCGAAAGAGCATCCAAGGCTAATTCATCTTGACTATATTCATAAAGTTTTGTATCATTTAGTGATGACTTCCGGAAGCATGTCAGCAGATGCCGAACGTATTAAGCTGAGGAAGGACCGTCATCCATTACAGCATGCAGAAACTGTGAGTATTTTCTTTTGTATTGTTTACACTTATTATTGGAGTTTTTCGAAGGGAATAGCAACGTTAATTCTATTAAAAACTCGTGAAGCATGAATTGTGAATGAACTTTGGTGTTTCAAAGTTTTTTTTTCTGCTGATATCTTACCCTTGCTCTCGAATGAATAGATAGTATTAGGTCATCCCATTCAAAAGTGCCGAGACATATAGAGGAATGGCAGAAAAGCAAAGGGGATAGAGCAGCGGGCTACTATACCATTTGGAGGCTAGTACCTTTAGCTATGTATCTGTGAAATTTGGCGAACCTACCCACAGAAGAAGTTCTCGAGAAATTGAAAAGAAGCCCGAGTGGTGAAAATCAGCGCCGGATTTTCAAATCAGACGTCATAAGAGGAAAGTGCGCTGCTCAAATTTGACCTGCGCCGGACCAGTAGTTGTGTGTAATGGTGTTCTCGAAATACAAGGTGGAAGGTTTGGTTCAGGAGCCCGAAGAAGGAAGAAAGGAAAAAATTTCTTGTCGTGGATATCATCTTGCACAAGAAAGCAAGAAAAAAAGGGTGGATGAAGTCAAGCGCTGAATGTCTGATCCCAGAGCCTGGACCTTTGTCGAGCTTCCCCGCGAGACTGACATCCCTGCTGCAACTGCTGCCCGAGTTATGTCCGATAAACTGAGGATGGTCAAGAGGGTGTGCGCATGGGTACCTAATTTTCTTGTAGAAGCACGAACGCAGTACCGATTCTATACCTCTAGCAGTAATGTTCTCAGCATGAGATGTCATTCACGACTGTGAAAACGCACCCCGGCCCTATGAAATATGGGTGGTCTTCCTCGAGCCAAAACTCACAATCGTCAATTTTGTATGAATGCAGATGAGAAGCCGCCCGAGTTCTACCATGAAGAGTTACGTGGGCGCAAGTGGATGATCATAGCAAGGATTCCCACACTGTGGCTTTCAGGCGGCTCTATACAGAGAATAAAATCGTCGCTGTCGGTGTATATTGCCTGTTCCTCGGCAATCAGATCGACAAATGGATGATACCACACAACTACAAGAAGGCCACCGTTGCTCGTCATAGTGCCAGACCCCGAGTAACTGTATTGTAGGGCAGTGCTGGGACACAAACAATACTGAGACCTGGGTTCAATCGCCCCATTCGCCCAACATAAAGCCGTTCGATTCCAACTGTTCTGGTCAGTCGAGGGTACTCTCCGACGAAACGCTACAATGTTTTGTCATTCGCCGAAATTGGCATCAACAGCAATTTACTCGCACTTGTTGAAAAATCGAAGGTACCAGAGGTCCAAACGCTTTCGGGGCCCTGGGAGCGGGTCATTGGTGAAGGAGGGATCTACTTAACTCAAAGCCAAAATATTACTTTTCTATCTGTTTTTCTCTTCGTTTTATATGAATAAGATCTTCGGCACTTTTGAATGGGATGACCTAATAGTTTATGATGTGATAGAAATGCACCTGCCGATGCATCACTATGCAAGAAAAGCCAAAATGCAAGAAAATGTTATTATGTGCGTGGCATGTTCCGTTATTTCAGTTATCCAATTGCTCCACTTCTCTCCAACCAAAGTGCGACGTTATTGTTGTCGCTTTCGAGTCATCTCGAGAGCTGTACATTCGTGCTGTTGCGGATGATCCTGTGTTTGATTCAATGAAAAGTGAAATGCGTAAAATTTTATGCGGAGAACTCGAGCGAAAGAAGAGTACAGATCTATGTAAGTTTTTTTGTTTGAGATCGTTTCAGAATGCCTTATTTTCATCAGTGTCTCTATTTCTTGTGGTAATGGGAAATTTTTATCTTGCTTTTGTGGAGGTAAATTGTCCAAGAAAACCACCTCCCCTTTAAATATAGGTGTATGATGGTCCACGAGATCGTTGATTTATTTCTGAGTGGGAACCTCTTCTCGACTTCAATTTAAATTTCATCGATTCCTTCACTTCTTTCACATCCGCCGCTGGCGCTCGCCTTTACTCAAAAAAAGGTGCAAGCCAAGAAGTTTCTTTCACGCACAGTTCATTAAGTATTGTTAGTTCTGTGAGGTGAGCCCGAATCTGTCCGAAACGTGTGCAGCTCTCTGATGCTTTTACCAATAACACTAAGAAAAACGTCATAGTTATCTTCAGGTTCAGAAACTTGGCCATGAAATTATGTGCATATTTTTCTATGTCGCACAAGGTTTCTTACAGTGGAACGTTTATTGTCCGATGTTTCGACCTTAGTAATCGACAAGGGCCTTAACTGGTTGAAGAGTTTTCTGTAAGGTACTCGACTAAGGACGCTACCGCTCTTTAGGTCAGTTGCCTCCATTTCTAGGAGCTTGAAGCAAAAGGGTTATTCCGATTGCAGCTTACCCAGAATGGAAGGTTTTCAGCCAATTAGATTATAAAGCTTCCCTAGAGAAGCTAGACATGCTCTTCGAAGTGTAGGTCCTTGACAAACGCGATTTGGTCTAAAGATCGGGCAGTAAATACTGTCACTTTAACAAACCCTGTGAGGCGTGACAAAATGTATGCATAATTTCATAGTTATGTCCTTGTAGGAGGTGTTGTCCGGTGGAGCGTACGCACTTTGTGATGCAGCTGGCGACTGGTTTCGTGTGATTGCTGTGGTGCGTTCTCTTTGATTTCATCGGGCACCTATTTCATCTGCTATAGTCTGCATACAGGAACTACCCCGTTCTGGTACAATCAAGTGCTTTTTCTGTGATGTGGGCGTATATGGCGTCTATCCAGTGGTGGACCTCCGCCTTCTTCCAGATCCTGGTCACTCTGTCATGTGTCGTGCGTTCACTTAGCCTACTTTACTTTTCATGATTTTTCATTGCAATAGGCTTTCCTCAAGATTGAGTACTTGACGAGTTAATCACTAGCTCCTCAGATTCCAGGCTATCGCCTCATCTCTTAGTTCATGTTTTCAGATGGTGCTCTCGCTAAGCGAGTTAATCTGGCTCTGCCTGATTACGCAATAAATCAGACATCTGATGATATTCTACGATCCGTTCTTTTCGAGAAAGATGCTCTGGGAAACTTTATCCCAGTTCGTGTGCAGGTAAATGTTTTCTTTAAGATTTCATTTTTCCGATGTCTATTCCTGACGTACGCTAACTTATCATATCTTTTCCCCACTCATTTTCAGAAGTGTTGAGTGTCCGCCTGAGAGAGCATTTTTGCTAGTAAACATTAGTGCAGCGTTTCCCTAGATCCCAGCGAGTATGCAAGTAACTCCGCCTAATGCATAAAGAATGGAACAAAAATTCCATTTTGTCTGTTCGAACACCTGGACTATACTGCGCCGGAAGTGGGGATGTATTAGGTTGTCCGGAAAGTTCTCAGCGTTTTGTGTTACTATTTTTTGTACATTCATTGCTGATTAAAAACTCATTCTCCCTTGCGTCTCAGTAGTACATCCTGAAGAGAATTTTTTGCGCTATCTGATGGTATAATTGCCGTTTCACCATTGCTTGATAAACCCCCTTTTCCCAAGACTTTTTGGAAGCATGTCAAAAGACTTGGGACAATGGTTTTCTTCAACTACATAAGGTCAATCCGCAGTCGAGACAGCTCGACAAATTAACCAGGTGTGGGGGCCCAATAGTGTTGGAGAAAGCACCGTGCGACAATGGTTCGACAAATTTCGTTCTGGAGATTTCAGCCTTGAAGATGAACCTCGTAGCGGTCGACCTAAAGCAATACCTGACGAGGATTTGAAGGCGTTTGTGGAGGGTGACCCATCCCAAACAGTTCGAGAGATTGCAAAAGTGCTTTGGCAAACCACTGTTGGATGGTCTGAAACGCATTGGGAAGGTGAAAAAACTCGACAAGTGGGTGCCCCAGAGTGACCGGCAGAAATTGGCACGTCTCGAGGTTTCTTCTTCACTGCTTTTGCGCAACAGAAACGACCCGTTTTGGACCGAATTGTCACCTGTGATGAAAAGTGGATCATGTATGATAACAGACGTTCCGGACAGTGGTTGGATGCCGACGAACCACCGAGGCAATTTCCAAAGCCGAATCCTCACGAAAAAAGATTATGGTCACAGTGTGGTGGTCATCGGCTGGTGTGATCCACTATAACTTTTTGTCACCAGGCCAAACCATCACAGCAGAGTCCTACTGTGAAGAATCGACGAAATGTACCGAAAATTGCGTCAGCTGCAGCCAGCACTTGTCAACAGAAAGGGTCCGATTCTTTTGCATGACAACGCCCGCCCACACGTTTCACAAATCACTATCCATAAATTGAACGAATTGAATAAAGCTTCGTGATTCTCGACCACCCACTTTTTTCTTTGATGGGAATTTCTCGATGCTGTCACATAGCAAAAGTGTGTGCTGAGACCGCGTTCATACACACGGCGCTCCCGCGGGAGGCGGCGTGGCCTCCGTGCCTCTGGCGGAATTTTCCAAAAATACGTATACTTTGTTGTTCTCACATTGAAGTGTGCTGATTCGAACGGTGCTTATTTCGATTAATCCGATGAGTATTAAGAAAGTTATGATCGTTTAAAGTGAAACACTCAAAACGCTGAGAACTTTCCGGACAACCTAATAGTTAGTATGGCCTTGTGATCGATTGCGTCAAGCACGAATCGCAGCCTTGTCGTTTTAGAGAGCATTCTTACTGAACCCTTTGTCTATATCTTCATGCGTTTGCACCTTACTGTATTCTCGTAGTGGGCGGCGCTACTGCAGCTCTTAGGTCCACTGGAGGGCTTATAGTTAGTGCGGTCCTCTGAAACCTTTCCTGCTTCCTCAAGCGCTCGCTGGGTATTCAATTCTTGTACCATCGAAAGCGATGGAATCCATCCAAGGTATTTGCTTAGTAATACCGAAAATCTTTCAACAGCGAGAGATCGTCCTTAGTGCTGGAAGTTTCAAGGTTGTTTCGAGAAAAAAATCATCGGCAATTGTCTTTCAGCTGACTTCATTAACGGAAACAGAGTTAGACGGCGAAATCGTATCAATTGCTGACTTGTGGATGCCTGATGGAAGGGCAGTTGTCGAAATAGTGATGGCTAATATTCCAGACGGAAAGGATGGTAACAACACCGTAAAGTGAGTCTGAGTTTATTGTTGTGTTCGTGTTAGTGACCTGTTGGGTAGTTTTCATCAAGTTCGCTGCTAAAACGCCTGCAACATGGGATTAGCGCTCCTGTTGCCACGTCATCCACAGTTTTGCACCCGTAGAGCCCGCCTCTTGACAAATGCGGACAAAAATAGTGAATTAAAAGTAGTACTATAATAAAAGTGAAATAGTAAGTTACTTCAATATAATAATAACGGCATGGAGAAGTGCGTATTCAAAAAGTTCAGGCGAATATGTTCAATTGCCGGAAAAGCAGTAGATGTAGATTAGAGGAGAGCTCATTTGGCATCTTGGCCAGGAGACATATTCACTTTCCTTCCTGTTCCTCTTTCTGC